TCCCTTTATTAATCAGGGGGGGCCCACAGCGGAATGATCTACCAACTTATCCAGCATGTTTTATGCAGCAGATGCCCTTCCAGCTGCAACCCAACAATGGGAAACACCTATACACACTTGCATTCACACACATACAATACGGCCAATTTAGCTTTTCCAATTGACCTATAGCACATGTCTTTGGACTGGGGGAAACTGGAGCACTCGGAAGAAACCCACGTGAACACAGAGAGAACATGCAAACTCCTGGCGGCCTTCTTGCTGTGAGGTGATCGTGCCACCCAATAACCTTATTATATAACTAAACTGGTGGCTTGGTAGTTAATACTGTTGCCTCACAGAAAGGTCCTTGGTTCAAGTTCTGACCCAGAATGACATTTTGTCTAGAGTTTGCAAGTTCTCCCTGTTTTCGCATGGGCTTTTGGGTTCCAATAGTCCAAAGACATGCAATACTGTATAGGTGAATTGGATAGTTAAGTTAATTTGCTATAGTGCATAACTGGATTCCTAGAGGGCTGCAGCTCTGCAGTTTTGCTCCAACCTTAATTAAACACAGCTGATCAAAATAATCAAGACTACTAGAGGCTATTAAGCAGGTGTGATTTAGTGGTGGTTGGAGCTAAACTGTGCCGAGCTGCGGCCCTCCAGGAACTGAGTTTCAGACCATTCATAGTGTGTGTGTGAATGGGAGTGTTTCCCTGATTTAAAAAAAAAAATGGATTAAGCTGAAGGAGAGTGAGTAAATGATTTATTGATTATTATATATATTTTTTGAAATTCTTTCAAGTAATTTAACAAAGATTATTGTGTTTGTGTGTGGATAAACGGCCCCTTTAAGAAAGAGAGGCTTTGAATCCAGTTTGTTTTACGGCCTCAGAAGGATTTGCGTTTGTATGTTGAATCCCACATCCAGCAGCACAGCTTACCTTCTCTCTCTAATGGTTTATTCCTCGATTATAAGCCTATTGCGCTGTGTCGCTTTTCTATGTATGATGTGAAAATGAAGCCGCTGTGCAAAAAAAGAATAGCCAAATTACGAGTGAGAAAGTGAGATACCAAAAAAAGTCATATGGAGATCAGTGATATCCGACAGCTGTCTGTCTGAAGGCAGAAGAACTGAAAACACAAAAATCAACATACTGATCTGACACCGTCCATCCATCACGGTGATTGAAATGATGAAAAATGCCTCACAGGCCTTCATTATCCCCGCGCCCGGTCTCAGATCAGAGAAAACACAGATTGTTATATGAAAGTATTTCCAAAATTCATCTTCAGGCTGTCCTCGTTTTCGAGTGGAGCGTGTTTGTTTACAGATCACAGAGGCGCTACAGGTGCTGTTATTGTCACATTTTATCAAGCGTGAAAGGATTCTGTGAGCGCTGCTGCCATCTGTCGGTATTAACAACACTGCACATAATCAAAGCCTTCGTGTGGTTCACAAACTTGATATTAAAATGGCTTTTATTAATGCTAATTCATTAAGATTTTAAGTAAATATTTCGACAATTTAACAACAAAAACGACCACGGCTCTTTTGTGGGTAAATATTTTGTATCATCTTTTATGTATTAGTAGTTCTTTTATTGTTAGTCCTATTTCTTTATACTACTTCTATACTAGAATGTAAAATGTTTATTAATGGTTATTACTATATTGTTAATGTTTTAAGTTATAGTTTTCTTATTGATAAGTATTTTAAGAATCTAATTTGTTGCTGTATTTTATTTAGCTAAACATAAATTATTTGAATTGTTTTAATGTTATTTAAACAATTTTAAACAATATCTAATCTGTTTGATGATTTAAAGTGCTTCATCCAAATCAAAGTTATTTTAACAGATTTAGTTAACAATTTTCTATAATATAAATTCTAAAATATTAACTCTTTTGTTTGTTTTTATCAACTCACAAACCTGATTAAAATGCATTAAAATGAAGGAGAACTATAAATAAGTTATCAGTTTACAAACGATCAATCCTTTTATTAACATTTATTTTAATTAAATATATTTAAATGTAATTTAATATTTAATGAAATTGATGTTATTATTTCAGCTTTTCTTATAGAGCCTATTTATCATTTGTATTTAGTCATTATTGCCATAGAAGACAGTAAACACTAAATACAATAAAGCACATTTCTCATTTTCTTTTATTTTTGCCAATATTTTATCTTAGTTTATTTTAATAAACCCATCATTTGTCATTGTTTCAGTTAAAAGCAAGTTAATTATCTTAGTTTTTAGGTCCATTAATAGCAAATAAAACATCAACATAATTGAACAACAAACACATTTTATTGTTCAAAAAGCAAATAGATTTTTCTTGTTAACAATTATTTTCTAATTATTATTTTAATATTTCACTATATGATAGGAGTTATTTCAGCATTACTTGCAACATAGTGTAACCCACCAATCCTACTGCACCCAACCCGCTCTGAGCTGGGATCGAAATGGCGATTTTTGTATGGAGTCGGATGGATTAACAAGAAAGCTAAAGATCATGTCCTTTAGCATCTGTCGCTGGAGCACTTTTTGAGGTCAGAGGAGTGAGGTTTGCCTGCATAGCACTTATCTAGCTGGCCTCTGTTACACTCACCCCCCTTAACCTCACTCCCATCCTGGACAAGCTCCTAACCCACCAGTGCTACTGCACCTGGTCTTCCCAACTGGTGGGTTACACATGGGGGCTTGTCCGGGATGGGTACAATAGCATTTGTTAATATTTGTTATTATTAGTTCTCGTACTAGAATTTTTAAGGTTTTCAGCATAAGCTAAAAGGCATAAACATAACAATAAAAGAGAACAAACAGTAAAAACATAGTGCTGTTATTCTTAAGAATGAAAAGAAGTTTATTTCAAATGTACAAATATTTATAATTCATTTATTAACAACCTTTTGTTTTTTTTTTACTAAAAGAATATAATTTGGTCCCATTCAAAATGTTAACACAAAATCAATATATAACCACACAAAATTAGAGAAAGGCTACATACACAATTATTAATTATTATTATTTTGCTTACAATTGACTGTTGGATTCCCCTGCTGCCACAACGGATGGAAAAAAAAATCATTATTAGTGCACTTCTGAACACCTGAGATTCACTGCTCTCTTCTATAACTGAGTGGCACAGACTACAGCACAGTGTGGTCCACTAGCATTACGTCCCCTGAGAAGAAAAAGTGTCTTTATTGAGCTGTATGATGAGGTTTGTTGTGCTCTGAGTCCAAAAACAATCCTGTAAATTGAGCTGATTTCAAAAAGATCAGAAGACGTGGGGACATGTGCGTTATATACAATTGAAGTCAGAATTATTAGCCCTCCTTGGAATTTATTTAGTCTTTTCAAGTATTTCCTAAATGATCTTTAAAAGAGCAAGGCATTTTTCACAGTATTTCCTATAATATTTTGTCTTCTGGAGAAAGTCTTACTTGTTTTATTTCGGCTAGAATAAAAGCAGTGTTTAATTTTCTAAACACCATTTTACGGTCAATATTTTTAGCCCCCTTGAGCAATTTTTTTTCTTCTGATTGTCTACAGAACAAACCATCATTACACAATGACTTGCTCAATTATTCTAACCTGCCTAATTAACCTAGTTAAGCCTTTAAATGCCACTTTAAGCTTGAAAAACAGTAAAATATGATGTACTGTCATCAGGGCAAAGATAATAGAAATCAGTTATTGAAATCTATTATGTGTAGAAATGTGTTGAAAAATAATAATAAATGTTTCTGTTAAACAGATAATATGGAAACAATATACAGGGGCTAATAATTCAGGAGCGCTAATAATTCTGACTTGTTGATCTGTATGTGCTATATAATATGGTCATTTAAAGGAATACTTCATTGAACACTGACAAACACAAACTGAATGCTAAATAAAAAAATATATATATATAAAAAATAAGATGTACGACCTGTGAGGGCAGTAGTGATGTCACTTATTCATACAGTGTCCTCCACTAATATTGGCAGCCTTGATAAATAAATATGCGCAAAGACTGTTGCAGTTTTTTTTAGTGTTTAACCTTCGGAAATTTTGCTCAGAATATGAACTCTGCTCTCATTGAGAACAAACAATTGCACATTTTTATAAAAAAAAACAAATCTCTCTGATAAATAGATCAGTGCCACAAATATCGGTAGACCTATGAATTCATATTAGTAAAATATTTTGAAGAATGATGTTTTACTTGGTGAACATGGCTGAAGAGGAACTTGTTCAACAATGACCTCCAGTTTCACATACACTGTAAAACCCAGCAGTCAACTAAATCAAATGAAATGAGTGTAGTTTACTCAAAATGTGACCTAAATAAACTCAAATGGTTTGTAGCAATCGGTTTCCTCAAACGGTTTGAGTTGTCTTAACATATTGGGTTTTACAGTACTCAGTTGGTTTGAGTTCTCTTCATTTATTGGGTTTTACTGTGCTCAAATTGCTTTGTTTACTCAAATGGATTAAGTTCACAGAACTCATTAGGATTAGTTTTTAAACTCAAATGGTTTGTGGCAATCGGTTTCTTCAAATGGTTTAAGTTACCTTAACTTTTTGGGTTTTACAGTGTATGAGGAAACACAAAGGCCAAACTCACTCATTCATTAACTAATTAAGTCAATTAAATCATGCTGTAATTAGAAACAAACAGAAAAGAAAACAGCAAAACACAAAAAAAAAATGGCCATTTCCATTTCTCCTCTGACAGTCAGAGGGCGCTCTCACGCCGAAACTCCAAACACCCACAAAGAAGAAACCCAGGAAATCCCCATAATTGTTTTATAAACAGTAGATTCCATTGCTTTCATTGGTTCAGAGTCACTAATAATCACTGAATCATCTCACAGAAGGATTATTTCAAACACTTGACTTAAGATTAGTACGTTTGGAGTAAAAACATGTTATTATATGTGGTCATTTCACCTGCAGCATTTTCTACACAGAGCTGTAGTTCATGAGAAGCAACGCATACATTTTTTTTTTTTAATCACGGAATAATCATCTTGATTGTCTGAATAAATGGATTTAGATTTGAAACACAGTTTTGCGTAGCTTGTCAGTGAACTATTCCTCTTAGTAGTAAACGCTGCTCCATCTAAAACAATATGCTGGAGATTGACTAGAAACTGGTTTAGTGGCAAAATGTGCATGAAAATAGCTTTCGATTATTTGCCATGTCCTGACACGAGTCTTATCTTTCACGAATAATCTACCAACAATTAGTCTCACATTTGAACCCCTTCATCCAAAAACAAACAAAGACTTTAGTTTTTTATGTTAATATTCGTTCATTTTCCTTTGGCTTAGTCCCTTTATTCATAAGGGGTCGCCACAGCGGAATGAACCAACATATGTTTTACACATGCCCTTCCAGCTGCAACCCATGACTGGGAAACATCCATACACTCTCACATCACACACATACCCTACGGCCAATTCAGTTCATTCAATTCACTGATAGCGCATGTGTTTGGACTGTGAAAGAATCCAGAGCACCTGGAGGAAACCCACATGAACACAAGAGAACATACAAACTCCACACAGAAATGCCAGCTGACCCAGCCGGGACTCGAACCTGTGACCTTCTTACTGTAAGGCAACAGTGCAAACCACTGAGCCACCATGTTGCACGCTAATGTTTATATTTTGAGCAAAAAATGTACCTTTTGTAAGTAAGTGTCTTTTTTTGTTTTTGTTTTATCACAGCATTCTTTGCTCATAATTGCCAGGCATGCCAATATCAGTGAAAGGCACTGTAAATGCACCTTGAAAAAGTATATAGTGATTTTCTGTGGTCCGACATGCTTCATTTGCTATTTGTCTGTTTCAGGTCTGCTGATGAGAAGCTCTGTGGCCCGTTTGACCATTGAACTGCACTCACTCTTGTCGAAAGCGGTGGCGTCGACTGGACTGGGATGAGACTGAGGTAACAGCTTGTGTGAATTGGACTGTGCAGTGTTTTCCATTGAGGATCTGACGGGTGTTTGGTCTCCGGAGCCGGAGGAGTGTGTGGGGTCTGGGTACAGGAGGGCAGACAGCGGGCAGTCTGGAGAGGAATATTTGGCCAGCACCTGCAGCTGCTCTGGTCTGAGGGCCGCTTCGGCACACACCTGCTCGTACAGGCCCGAGTAACTCTGCCAGGCCTTCAGCTTCAACTGATTCAGCTTGACTCTTTCAGAGGTCAGCTTCTCTCGCTCACATCGCTGCAGAAAACAAACAAAATACAAATATATAATATAAAAAACATACAAATGGAAATCCTTTTAATAGATCATTTAAAGTGTTATTATGATTATACTAAAGAAATGGTTGTTTTGGAGTCTCCTACAGTCGGTTTACATCAATCAATACAAACAATAGGGGCACAATATCATGGACAGAATACACTTATGAACATAATATGATGCATATTTGTCAATAATAAATATAACAAGTAAAGATTATTACTATAAATCATTTTCATTTGTTTTGGTTAATCATTTCCATAATGCATTTTTTACAAATAGTCTAGAATCAGCACCATTTTCATTTTGGAAATTATAACATCTAAGAATAAATATGGTTAAGTAGATTAGATTAGCTTCAACAAGTACAAGTACAGGACAACGAAATGCAGTTTAGGTCTAACCAGAAGTGCAAAAGCAGCAAGTGCAGTATACAGGTATAAGTTATAAAGTGCAGTTATAGAAAAACTATGATGATATTTACAGATGGATGTACTATCAACATTATGTACAGGTTGTATTAGCTTTGAACAGAGATTTACAATAAATTAATAAATGTACAGATTGCTTTTAATAATCAGAAGTGTGCAGATGGATAAACATAATTACAAATGTATATGTACAGTGAGTGTGTACAGTTCAAATAAATAAATCAGTGCAATGTAGTGCAATGAATATGTGCAAATTTTAAGTGTGCAAATGTTAAATAGTGCAGTGGTTGTGCGGAGTATAAGTTAGAGGACAGTGGGGGTGTATTAGGGGGGCAAAGAGGGGAAACTAGGGGGGAAAGTGATTATTATTGTAGGAAATTGGATTCACAGATATAGCATATGCTGTTTTAGCACAATTTCAGACTTATTTGAAAAATGTAAATAAATTACATATTTTTATTTAATAGTTTTTTGTTCATTAATGTAATAGTTTGCATTAAAACTGTAATGCAAACAGATGAAAGTTTGACCATCATTTTATATGCGGTTCAAAAACATAAATCTCACAATTTTCATGCTTTTTAAGTGTCAAAAAACCTGTCCAGGTCATCTTTTACCCCAAAATCAAGTAATAATAAACTGTAAGATAAAAAATATAGTAAAATACTATAAAAACTATACATAAACAATAGATACAGTGAGTGACACTTCAAAATGACCGTCAATGCCACATGTACCACTGCTACATGTTTTAAGAGATTAAGGCCCCATTTACACTAATAAGTTTTATTTTTAGTTTAAAAATGAAAACGATCTGCGTCCCCACTGCCATTTCACCCAGCGTTTCTGAACAACTCTCCGTCCATACTACCTTGCTAAAAATGCACATCACGTGACTACACACACACCCACACACACTGACATGCACTGCAGCAATGAGAGCGGTGCACGTCAAACTGTTCATCAAGGATCTACCGCTGGATCTAATCTCACTATATTTGTTGAACGTAGTATTTAATTCATCTTGTTGTCTACAACTTACGACATATTCCCCAACTTTCATCTGCTGAATCTATTACTTGTTCTCAGGTAACATATTTTGTCTGAGCACAAAGATAAGTTAATAATTAATTTATGTAACCGCGTACACTGACTCTGCACATTTATGTCCTATAATGTATAAACTTATTCTACGTTATTCTTTTTTAATGGCTATTATTGATTATTAAAACTGAGCAAAAGAAAGGGTATGTTTTTGTATTTTTAATGAAAATGATAGGAGTGATGTTATAGGCTCTGTTTTGTTATAAGTATGCATACAGTGAAGATGACGGTCATAGCCTATCACACAACATTTTTAGTGTCTGTTAATTTGTTAATATCAAAATGAAGATAGGCAGTTCCTCATATATTGTTTTCATTTTATTGTTAAGAAAGTGAAACAATGTATCCAGGGTGATGTGAATGAGGTGATAAAGTTCTCTGTTCCCTTTGAAGAGTTACCCGACGTGTCCTCGGGTGTTTGTTTTCCATATTAAAACTTGTGAATTCTGAACTTACAAGGAGAGGCTGCAGGACTGAACTTTGAGTAGGCTACTTAATATTGAGGAAAGAGCCACAATCAGGCGAACGTCTGCAGCCATGCCTCTGTTTTAAAATGTCTCCGTTTTCCCCCATCCACAGTAACACGAAGCAGCAGCATTTTAAATTGAAAATGGCCTTTTCAGCGTTTCCAAAAGACTCTATTTTTGGCGCTCAAATACTCCTGCGTAGTGTGGACGGAAGGCGTAACTTATGTTACTACTTATTAATAAGCAAAACTTATGCGTTTTCAAACTAAAAACGTATAGGTGTAAATAGGGCCTAAGAACAGGTTTTTAGGTGTAACAACAGCAGTTTGCAACTACGCCACCAGAAGGCACAAAGGGACGGGATGTAAACCGAAATAAATCTACAGTAACTGTAAATAACCTGCTACTTGTAAATGAGGATGAAATACCGAAATAAAGCATTATAATTCCTTTATTAATCATTAAAAACGTGTTAACAAGCAGTATTATCATCGTAAACTTAAGTGCAATGAGGATTTATTTTGGAAATTAAAACTAAATAAATAAAAGTCAACTAAAAGGTACAAACATGCATACACAAATAAATAAATAAATAAATAAATAAATAAAAATAAATAAATAAATAAATAAATAAAGCAGTGTTTTAACCTAATATAGAGAGATGTGCAGTGTTTGTTATTTTAAAGTGATAGGACTAAGACGGTCAATAAAGAAGCTTTTTCATGTACAGCTTTTTCTTTGTACATTTTCCCAAAGACATTTTATTTGGATATTATTTTAATAAAAATTAACCTAACATAACTCTTTTTATTATCATTTGGATAAATATAGTTTTAAATATTATATGAGTTTTAATACCATTGTATTAATCTGACATATTATACTTAAATTATTATAATTACTACAAGTACAAAATTAATAGAAAAAAAATCATCTCTAATTTATCATTTTTGATTTGGGGGTGAAATATTGTTAAATTCACTGATAGACAAGCTGAAAAAACAACATTTATGAATAAAGCTGTTTTTGTGCAGTTTAAGCTTTTATCAGGCAAAAACCCTTACTAGTTTCTCGATTTCACACTCTAGGTTGTGTATGCAGTCGAGTTTGCGCTTGCGGCAGCGGCGAGCAGCGATGCGGTTCTTGCTGCGTCTGCGGATGTCATGAACAGCATCGAGCTGCTCGCGGCTCAAACTCTGCTGCTTCAGCATCTGCTGGAAGTCATTTCTGCTCAGACACACGATCTGATCCACAGAGAGCGGCAGCGCCATCTGGAGGAGAACAGGAGAAATCAAAACATTACATCATCTGCTACATAAATATGATTATTCCTGCCCAGTCACGGCTCCAGGTCTGTTGATACTCAAAACACTATTATGTCAGCATTTATCCGCTCTGTGTTCAGTCACAGATAAATGGACGAATGCTTTTATTAAGGTTGTCCTTCAGGACGTCAACAGACTTTGACCTGAATGTGGGCCTGAGTCATTATAAGGAGTAGATAGTACAGGTCTTGCCTGCTCAAAAGACACTAAATGCTACAAAGTTCACAAATCGTTAACAAATCAGGTGCACAGGTGTCAGGGTTTTGCTTGTTGATCCACCTACAACATTCTAAAGACTAAATGAGACGTTGGTAAAAGGAATGGGCTGATTTCAACCGCAGTTTGAAAGTTTTTTAATACTTTTTTTGCAAAATTTGCTAAATTTTCTGCTATTTTGTATGTATATATATATATATATATATATATATATATATATATATATATATATATATATATATATATATAGTTAAAGTCAGAATTATTAGCACCCCTGAATTATTAGACCCCCTGTTTATTTTTTTCCCCAATTTCAATTTAAAGGAGGGATGATTTCTTCAACACTTTTCTAAACATAATAGTTTTAATAACTCGTCTCTAATAACTGATTTATTTTATATTTGCCATAATTACATTAATTAATATTTTATTAAATGTTTTTCAAGATGCTTCTATACAGTTTAAAGTGACGTTTAAAGGCCTAACTGGGTTAATTAGGTGAACTAGGCAGGTTAGGGTATTTAGGCAAGTTATTGTATAATGATGGTTTGTTCTGTAGACAATCGAAAAAAAATTTGCTTAAAGGGGCTAAAAATTCAAAACTGCTTTTATTCTACAGTTATTAAATATTTTATTCTTTTATTCTGCTTTTATTTCTAAACAATCTTCCCTCCATTAAACAGAAATTGGGGAAAAAAATAAACAGAGGTGATAAAAATTCAGGGGGGCTAATAATTCTGACTTCAACTGTATATATATTTTATAGCAGTTAAAATAATATCATGAAACCATGATATTTTTATCCAAGCGTATCTGTCAAAATTTTATACCAGCTTATGCCAAGTTAGTAATGAGATGAAGTTTCTGGAGGGACCAATATTTGCACTTCCAATATTTGTACTTCTTTATTACTACATATTAAAATATTTTTTATTAATTAGGCCAGTGAATAAACTGCTGTATTGCTGGATAATTCCTACAACAACAGCAACTGAAATTAACAATTATAAGAATTGTATTATCATATATCAGTATTTATTATCATTATTATCAAATCCTGTCAATATTTTTTGTTTGTTTTAATGCCATTTCAGCAGCATTGGCTGTATGTATATATTGACTAATGTATAATTAGCAGTCATTACAATTTATTAATAATCTTTCATTGTACAAAAAGAAACAACTTCACAACACTAATAAAAACAACATTTGACTTTTAATTTGATAAAAAAATAACAAAATCACATATCAACACATTTCTTATCATTATAGTTTTAATAAGTTATTTGTAATAACTGGTTTATTTTATGTTTAGGCAAGTTATTGTATAACAATGGTTTGTTCAGTAGACTATCAAAAAAAAAAATAAATAAATAAATTAGCTTAAAGGGGCTAATAATTTTGTCCCTAAAATGGTTTTTAAAAAATGAAAAACTACTTTTATTTGAAAAATATTATCAGACATACTGTGAAAATTTCCTTGCTCTGTTAAACATTTTTTAAGAAATATTTAAAAAAAGAAAAAATAAATTCTAACGGCTAATAATTCTGACCTCAACTGTAAATATATATATATATATATATATATATATATATATATATATATATATATATATATATATATATATATATATATAATTGTGTAGTTTCTTACAGTCGGTTTATATCAATCCATAAAATGACAATAGGGACACTGCATATTAGTCAGTAATGAATCTAATTAAGGATTATTAATATAAATAATTTGCATTTAATTTGGTTAATAATTTTTATAATGCATTTTTACAAATAGTCTAGAATCAGCACCATATTCATTGTGGAAATTGGTATTAACATGGTTAACTGGGGAAAAAAGTGATTATTATTGTAGAACAAATCACAGATTTAGCATACACTGTTTTAGCACTTAGTGTTATTTGAAATATAACAATATATACAGTTAAAGTTGGATTTATTAGCCCCCCTAATTAAAAATAGTTTTAATAACTAATTTCTAATAACATTTTTTTTTTTTTGCCATGATGATAGTAAATAATATTTGACTAGATATTTTTTCATAACACTTCTTCTATACAGCTTAAAGTGACATTTAAAGACCTAACTAAATTAATTAGGATAAGCAGGATAGAAAGGTTAGGGTATTTAGGCAAGTTATTGTATAATGATGGTTTGTTCTGTACACTATCGAAAAAATATATAGCTTAAAGAAGCTAATAGTGTGTGTGTGTGTGTGTGTGTGTGTGTGTGTGTATGTGTGTGTGTGGGTGTTTAAATTAAAAACGAAACAAAACTAATTCCTCATGCTCATTCTATAAAGTGTTTTTGTCCATCAACACAAAATTAGCTGATTGATCAATTAAAAAGACAAACCTTTCCTCAACAAACAGCTAAATCTGACGTATCATTCAAAAACCACAAAAACATATGTTTATGATTTCAGCTCAACTACTAAACAGCAGCAGTCCTCACCTCACGCACTCGTTCACTGCTGTAAGACTCGCTGTCCCCTTCCGTGTCGAAACTGTCAGAGTCCTCTCCTGACTGGTTAGACTGTACATACGGACTGCCCTGTGACACAGATCCCCCTTCTCCATCATGAAGTTGCGCACCCACCGCACCAAAGCTCAGCACAAATGGACACTCCACTGCTCGGGGATCCAGGTAACAGGTTTTCAGACAGTTGAGACCGGAGGGTTTGTCCACCAAACCCAGGCCAGAAGGAGAAAGCTGACCAGAATCCGTCCAGAATGTGAGCTGTCTGGCCACCTCTATTTCCTCGGTACTCCTCTCCCCATTGCTTTGGTCTTCTTTGAACTCCATGTCTGCTCTCTCAGTGTGGTCCAATCCTGATTGAGGCAACATTCCCGGTTTATCCGAGTCTCCTGAGTCACACATAGATTGTGCTGATTCATTACAGGCTGGAAATGAGGGCTGGTCTGTACAAGGGTCAGGGTTTAGTGGAGAACACTCAGGCAGCAGAGAATCTTCATCCTCAGTGATTGGTGTTTTGTTGCTCGTGCAAGGAAGGCAGTTTAAGGAACAGTCGTAGGTTTTGTCAAGAGACATAGGTGTGGAGCCGCAGACATCCAGACAGGATCGCTCCTTCCCACAAGCGATCTGAAACTTGCGGTATTTGGGGCACAGGAGGGAGTAATCGGTGTCTCTTACACTGTTAAAGCTTTTTCCCACATCCTCAATGGCCACTGAAGGAGGACAGTACGGCTCTTTGCGTTTAGGCTGAAGCTGTGAGGGCTGAATTGGTGATTTGTCTTCATCAGTGGCATTATTGGGGTTGAGCTCAGCTCCTCGTGATTTGCAACATTTGATTTTGCAGCATTTCCTCTGGACTTTTGATGTACCTCTGTTGCTGTCAAAGAACTTAGGGAGCAGGAAATCAAAGCAGGCCTTGTCCAAGTTTTTAAAGCCGAGAACGGAGGCGCAGTTGCGGATTTCCAGCACGTTCTCTTTGGTGAAGAGGAGTTTTGAGGTGTAGGCGAACTCCAGCAAGGGTTCAAATCCCTCTGAGGTGATCTTAAATAAAAAATGAAAACAAATCAAAAGGTTTTAAAGAGCTCATGAATTGAGAAACCAAATTTTGATCTTGAATCTTACATCATTATATATATGCCATAAATGTGATGAAGGCAAACCTTCATCACATTTAATCTATAGCCCGTAATAGTATCTGTTTTTATGTTGCCAATGCTTATTTTTTAGACCTTAGTAACTTTTCCAATAATTACTAGAACTTATTCATGAGACACTAGTTCCTATCTGTTAGATGCTATTGCCTATTCTACAGATACTAGTGCCTAGTCTTTAGATAGTAGTACTTATTCATAAGATACTAGTATCTATTTAAAACAGGGGTGTCCAAACTCGGTCCTGGAGGGCCGGTGTCCTGCAAAGTTTAGTTCCAACCCTAATCAGACACAACTGGGCTAGTTAATCAAGCTCTTAAGCTGCGTTCACACTGGGCTTTTCCTCCCATAGACTTCCATTCATACGCACGCGAATGCGTCAGACCGGAAACGCAGGGTCATGCGCTAAGTTTCGCAGGTCGCCAAAATCGCATCACTTGACTGCGTGAGACCAATCGAGGATCAAAACATGACATCTCTGGACAGAAATTTACAACATGGAGCAATCGCTCGCTTTTTTTAATGTCTAATAATCTTGTTTAATCCTGCCCCTATTCGCAGCTCCGCACGACAGAATATCGCATGCTCAAACTCTAATGAGACCGCAGCTTTACTCTACTTTCTAGAAACATCCTTGGAGGTGAGTTGAGAGAAGTTGGAGCTAAAATCAGCAGGACACCGGCCCTGCAGGACCGAGTTTGTACACCCCTGATTTAATAGCTACAAATACTTATTAAATAGATACTAGTTCTTATTTATTAGATAAGAGTACTCATTTTATTAGTGACTAGTTTCTATTCTGATGTTACTTGTAACAAATTTAAATTTTTGCCGTTGATTTCTATGGGATCTGTCATTGATATATCAACTATTCAGTTTCAACTAGTATGTATTCTGGCTAGGATAAGTACATATTTTATGTACTAGTAGTTAATTATGAGGTACTAGTACTTATTAATTAGATACTAGTATCCAATTAATAGATACTAGTACTTAAGTATTAGATTATAGTACTTTTTCATTAGATACTAGTATCTATTTAAATTATGCTAGTGCTTATTAATTAGATACTTGTACTTAGGAAATAGATACTCCAATTTATTTAAAAGATACTAGTATGCATTTATTAAAATCTAGTACTTGTTTGAAATGTTTCTAGTAAAAAAAAAATATTTTACTAGTAAAATGTTTAATTGAACTTTACTTTTCCATTTGGACTAATCATGACATCAGACGAGTAAAAAAGCAGAACTGACTAGTAAAATAAGATTTGTCACTAGTAATAGTTATAAAAGACACTAGTGTCTAATAAATAAATACTTGTACTAATGAAAAACTACTAGAATCTATTAAATAGCAATATATGGTTATATCTAATATATTTGAGCATGTATCTACATATTTATAATTCCAATGGTTGAAAAAATAATACAATTTTTGCTTAATTTTGAAATGTATGTGTCAAATATACAATGTATTTGTTTATAAATGAAAATCAAAATATTAAAAACTTTCGAGGATTTAAGATGTTGAAACACCATTTTGGGAAAAGGTCTGTTGATTCTTTTGTCTCATAAATGTTTATTTATAAAATATTTCTGTCACAATTTGGGGACAAAATGCCAAAACTTGGTCATGGAGGGTTGGTGTCCTGCAGAGTTTAGTTCCTCCCTCTATTAGACATGGCTGAACCAGCTAATCAAGCTCTTTCTAAGAATACTAGAAACTCAGATAGGTGTGTTTAAGGAAGTTGGAGCTAAAATATGCAAGACACCGACCATCCAGGACTGAGTTTGGGCACCCCTGTTCTAAACCTTTGATTGTGTCTTTACCTCATCAGGAAGGTTGATGACAATGCTTTCGGGTGTATGAGTGGACACACGAGCACTGAAGTAGTCACTGCAGGACGCCAGAACTGCCCGGTGAGCCCGGAAACTCTGGCTCTCCGCCACAACAGTCACATCGCACAGAAGATCTTTCTTCCTCTGCTCATTCAGACACTGCAGAACATGTGAACTGTGCACAGACGACTGGAAGGTGAACTTAAATGACTTTGAGCTTTCCACCGACATCTTGAGTTAATCTGTATGGTAAAAAAAAAAAAAGATTTACATGAGCTCAGTTGAAGGGTTCTGCCAAGTGTAGCCTATATGATTTGTTTACTGACAATATTTGGCTATGTAACTCTTATTAGACATATTAAGAAAGCATTATGACAGGCATATTAAACTATTTATTTACAGTTGTTGGCTCTATAAAAAACGATATATTTCAAGTTTATTGGAAAGTATTAAAATAAATATTTCAAGTATGTAAAGATAAAGTTTTGCTTGCTCCGACTCTCTGATAGGTGGATATCATTATAGGTGGATTAATATAGTTTTTTTTGCATTAACTAAATTATTAAACACAGTTGCTTTAAAAAGAAGTAAATGTAGGCAGTTCAGACAATCAACTACTAAACTCATAAGAGCTCTCAACTGGTTTGTCATTAATTTTAAAACTTTTTAAAGGTTTCTCTAGGGAGAAAAAGAAAAAGTTTTTTTATTTCCTGATGCATTCTATTTTTGGGATTCATTCATTTTCCTTTGGCTTAGTCCTTTATTTATCAGGGGTTGCCACAGAGGAATGAACCGCCAACTTATCAAGCATGTTTTACGCAGCGGATGCCCTTTAAGACGCAACCCAGTACTGGGAAACGCCTATTTTTAGGCTATAATTGGAATCTCAAACAGAGATTCGTTAACTGTAATAGGCTAAAAGTCAGATTCAAGTGTGCCGCTCTGAAACTGACTATTGATAAAGAGGGGAACTGGAAAAGGGAAAATCCAGAATGGAACTACAATGAAGTCACACTTTCTTTGTAAAAGTAAATGTATGTCACTATTTTACTCATGTTCCAGCAAATCTCAAAGCTTGTTGTTTTTTTAACTGGCCAATTTTGTGTTACGTTGCATAATGTCATGTATTTCTTGTTAAATGAACTTCTAGTTATAAAGGGTGCCGAATCACAGTCGACCAGTTATTATTAAGGCGCTCGCATACTTGACCACGTCATACCTCTCACACTCGCTCAACGGGAAGTAAACGACTTAAAAAACAACAGAACCGCCTGGGGAAGAAATGCTGTTTGTATCACTCAGTAGGTACGTGTTCTTACCCACGGGAGCTCCTTATCTCAGCTGTGTACAGAGAATTTGACCTAGTCGAGTCATGAGAGTTTATGTGTGCGCGCGCGCGCTCTTGTGTGTGTGTGTGTGTGTGTGTGTGGCGCAAGACAGTGCGCGCTCTCTGCTGACTCATTGGGTTTTGCTGATAAAGGATGAGCAAGCATTTTGTCCGTCTGTTCCTTTCCACTTAACTCATCGACTTTTAAAGGAACTTGGGTACCAGTTGCCTCACAGTTGAGCTGACGTACTTTTGATAAACGGACACTTTTGAACTCGTTTCCCTAATAATTTGTCGAGTAAAACAACTGACGCGCCTTTGATGTAATGAAAATGAACATTACGGTTGTGTAACAAAACCTAGTGAGCTGTCTACCTAGACAGCATTTAAGGCATGTCAAGCGCGCGCTTTAAATGCTCGATCGAAACATCGGAACGCGGTTATTGTGTACAAAAATGCTGCCTAGGTAGCCTATGTTTTGTAACAGCATAGGTCCGACAAAAAAATCTACATTTGCATAAAAGCATATTATCGCTTACATAGTCGTGATTATTAGAACTCATATGCGTAAAGCATGTAACAAAACAAACCCGAAATTAACCCTTTCAGACACATAACATTAAAAAAGACCACTTAAACTTCTCTAAAGATCTCTATTTTCAATATATTTATGTCTCTCGACATATATTTCTTTAAAAAAAAAAAAGCACAATCGTTCGTATGTAGCCTACTCACCTGTCATATCACCGGAGAGTAATAAGTTGGATTTGATAATACATACTAAACCCAGGCTGCTTAAAGCGCTCACTTGTAACTATGAAAACAAGGAGGCGCTTGTGCTTCGCTTGGGTGTCATGTGACTTATGGCCAAAAATTGTTTTTATCCCGCCTTCTCAAGCGCTGACCTCCTTTCATTGGCTGTCTCTGTCCCGTCAGTCATTTACATCATGACTTTCTTGTATTTCCACAGACCGCCTTGGTTTTCACTGTACAGGCAGAGACATACATAATTTAACCTCTTCAGGCCCAGATTAGTCTTTACAGACAACCTTTGTGTATAAAAGAAGCCAAAATGACCTCTGAAATGTTATTAACTGTGTATTACCTAGAACAAGGGTGTCCGAACGGTCCTGTCCTGAAGAGTTTAGCTCCAAACACACTTGAACCAGCTAATCAACCGCTTACTAGATACACTAAAACTTCCTTTCAGGTGTGTTGAAGCAAGTTGGAGCTAAAATCAGAAGGATCAAGTTTGGACACCCCTGATCTAGAATATTGTGCATTTGAACACCTTTAAAAAACTTGGATGTATAAACAATCGATGGTAAAATCAATTCTTATATAGGCTAGTATATATTCATATTTAAATTAATATAGAAAAAAATTGTTTAAAGTAATTTATTCACTGTCATAATTTCTTAGAAAATGTATATTTTATTATAATTACAAAAGTAGGTTATTCTAATAAATAAATAAACATATTTATTGTGTAACTATTTCCTGGTATAATGTTATGGTTATACACAGCATTATATGAAAGTGATGGGTGTAAACACAGTAGTATACAATCTCAAATATCCTGTCAGATTTTCTGTTTTGAAAAATGAAAAATAAACAAATGCTTTTACATTTTGACATATAGAGTCATTCATCTTTCTAACAAAGAAATAGAAACCTGCCCATAGCCAAACAAACTAAAAATCTAAATCTGGAGGAAGCAAAACACTGCTGCTAAACTGGTTTTGCGATCATAAACTGCCGGCATCTCGGCTTGTGTGGGATGGAGGTGTCAGCCATTGATAGTTTTGAAGGGTTTCACAATCCTAAAATGAGCAGATCACATTTCGAAAGCCAAGTTCCCTTTTACTGAGTGACTAAACAATGGTGTGTAGTCATAGGTCTATCATCACCTTGCTTGAACTTAGATAGCTGGACAGAGGTTTAATTCCTTTTTAATGCAACTGACAGACAGTAATATCTCTCGCTGAGGACCGCTCCTTCACAGCAGAGCATTTTACATGATATAACACAGACACAGCTCCATCTGTACAAGCACATTTGTCAACAAACACACCCTTTAAACACACACAAAGAACAAGCTGTATATACTGTATTCAGAATACCAATACTGTATATCAGACTGAGGCGACACCTCAGATCAAGTTGGGCTCTGAAACGACCCACGTTAGCTTAAATATACATTTATTAAGTGTTTCAGTTGAAGCGCACTGATTCAAGATCAGTTTTGTTGTTGTTTCAGTACACTGAAGAAAAGCCATGAGGTGACAGATCTTTTCATCAATGTCAAGAGTCACGAGGAGCCCTGCCTCTTCTGACTGATCACTCGGAGCGTCTCGAGCTGCTGCGCTCGTTCACTGTGCACCGTTATCAAGTTCTGGTTCTCTTCTGTGAGTATCCGATATTCCTCTTCATATCGTGCAAACTCCATTGATGCCTTTTCATCCTCTAGCAGCTCCGCCATGAGCTCTTTTCTGAGGAATGGAGAAGAAAACGTGTTATACATGATCATACCTCACTTTTTTATGACTATCCTGCTGAAAAAAAAACAATAGGAAGCATTACAGATTTCCTAGAGCAGTGGTTCTCAAACTTTTTTTCATCAAGTACCACCTCAGGAAAAAATTGTCTCTCCAAGTACCACCAAAATGAGCAGTATTGAAATACAGTCGCATAGTAGGCCCAGTAAAACAGCTAGAACTTAGCACAGTTAAAAATTGTGGCAGATTACCTCAGAAATATAGGCTATGTCATATATGGCATATTATATACATCATTTTTGATAAATTGTGAAATGTGTGTAGCATGTACATGACATATTTAATTTCTCCGCGTACCACTAGAAGGAAGCCTGCGTACCACTAGTGGTACACGTACCACAGTTTGAGAACCACTGTCCTAGAGCATGGGTCTCAAACTGGATTCCTGGAGGCCCACAGCTCTGCACAGTTTTGCTCCAACCCTAATCAAACACAGCTGATTCAACTAGTCAAGGTGTTCAAGACTACTAGAGACTATTAAGCAGGAGTGAGTTGGAGGTGGTTGGAGCTAAACTATGTAGAGCTGCGGCCCTCCACTTGTTCTAAAGGTTTCCACTACAAATACCATTAAAAATAATACAAACCATCAAATTTTAACCATCACAACCAATACATTTTATTGCTTTCTAACGTGTCTTGGGACATATTCAATTAGGATTCAAAGTGAAGACCATTACAGTTTCCAGTAAACTCAAAATGTGGCCCTTACCAGTGTTATGTTGCAAAAACCATTAGGATGTTAAATAAAGATCATGTTTCATGAAGATATTTTTGTAAATCTTATATGGTAAATATATCAAAACTCAATTTTTGATCAGTAATATGCATTACTAACAACTTCATTTAGGCCAGGGGTGCCCAAGTTTTTTCTTATAAATGGCCAAAAGCCAAACTTGATTGAGGCTAGTGGGTTGAATGTAAATACAGTAAATTTGCCGCGGGTAATTTCCTAATTAATTTAATAATATTTTAAAACAACTAGTAAACATTGCTTGATATTAACTAATAAAGTAGGAACACTCCATAGATAAAATTAGATAGAAAAATATGTTAAGAAAAATTACTGACAATGCAATTTGGAAACATTTCTCACGTGTTATAGCACTGTGGATGTATAAAGCTGCAGTCACACTGCACTTTTCTCCCCATAGACTTCCATTTATACACTCAAAAATAATTTTTCTTGTTTAAACTACGTAATTAAAATAAGCTGAAACAACAAAATTCTTGAGATTTCATTGGGACAACTTAATTTTTTGTGTTTAATTCACATAAATTTGTTAAAAGTGTTCAGTTAACTTAATTTGTTTTGGGACAACATGGATGAATTAGTTTGGAACCCTGCATCTTTTGCAGTGTACGCACGCCAATGCGGAAACGCAAGCTCGTGCGACAAGTTTCACAGTTCGCTGCCTTGGAAAGTTCTAGCTTGGTGAACTCTGACCTGCGAATTCGCTTCACAGGATTCCGTGAGACTAATCGAAGATCAAAACATGACCTCTCTGGACCGAAATTTAAAACATTAGCCAATCGCTCGCTTTTTTAACATCTAATCATCTTGTTTAATCCCGCCCCTTTTCACAGCGTTAAACAACAAAACTTTTCATGCACAACATCTAGTGTGACCGCAGCATTACCAGGGTTGTAAACTCATAAACAAACACTTGCATTAGATTGCGATTGGCCAGATCAGCGAGTGCCGATCAAGTCGTGATATGTGATTATCTGCCAATACCAATTTTCAGCTGATCGATCAGAGCATCCCTATAATAAAGCATACATTACATTTTATTATGAACTTACTACAGTAAAAACAAAAACATTTATAACAGCATGGGGTTACACTAGTTTTTGCCTTGATTTGCTCAAAGATGTCTTCGACATAGTTCTTTATCCATCGAGTGACAATATTTACTGTACATTTATAAAAATCTTGTTCATTTACAACATTTAAGTGAAACATTTCATTCAGTTTGCTTTTTTGTAGCTCAGCAATAAAACTAATTAGAAATGACACTTTTAAAGGCATTCACTCTCAATCCTCTCAGTCATTCTCACTCTCTTCATAGATGAAATGGTGGGCCAAATCAAAGGTTAGAATGGGCCCGCAGGCCCTACTTTGGCATCTCTGAGTTAGAAAATAAGGTGATTTTCACAATATTAATATTGATTTTTTTTAACCATAGGATGACAGATTTTTCAAATATTTGTAATCAATAATTATCATATCCTAACAAATCATACATCAATATCCTAACAAATCACAAATGAATTCTTACAGTAAATAAAGTGTATGTATTCAACGCTCAGAAGATGTACGCATACTCACATAGAATTTCCATTATAGCCTTTAAAACCATTATACATTCAATTATGTTTTCTATTGTTGTTGTTGTTGTTTTTAGCAGGTATTTGATGTATTCATGATATGAAATGTGGTCTGGGTGTCACACAGGTGACTATAAGTGTATGTTGTGTGCCTGAAACTATTTTATAGGAAGTGAAACTGTCAATGGCATAGCTTCTGGTACCTACGTTGACAGAATGATTTCATTTGAAAAAAAAAACATGCTTCTTATTATGGATCTCGATGATTCATAATGTTTGACTAGCTCACAATTACATGAAATCAGTGGGAGATGTCTGTAACATTTGGCTTTTGGATGATAAAGTACCGGTTTTCTAAGAGTGTCATTTTTTTCACAGGGTTGAAGGGAGGTGAAAGTTTGAAATCAAAGTTGAAAATTTATCATGTGTAAAACAGGATGCTTAGTGTATCAGTATTAAGATTAAATCTGCAGAAAATGTACAGAATTGATTTACAGTATATTTCTGAACAGCTGAACTTGGTGCTTTGAAAAAAAAAAAAAGTTCATGTGTTTTCCTCTTTTGGAAAAGAAGCAACTGAGAAAGAGAACAAGGACTGGAAATTTACAGTGGCAATTTTGATGGCAAAGAAGTTCTTGTGTTTTCCTCGATAAACAAAGCAGCTTAATCCTCGGCAAATAATTGTTTAGTTTTTACATATAAATATATCTGTTACACTGAATGACAGTAGAACATTATATTTATACAAAAAATGTGATAAAAATTTAGGTCAGACTTTATATAAAGTGCTCCTAACTACTGTATACTTACATTTAAATGAATCATGTAGTAATGCAGATATTATGCACATACATGTTTTAACATTAAACTTATATAAAACAAATTGTCTGCATGTAATTTCATCTGAAATTACATTTATAATTACACTGTTTACCCATCCCTTACACCTTATCCTTAAGGATACCCATACCACCAAATCTGTCCCTAACCTTACCTCTATGCCCCCTCAGTAGCACCATAAGTGTTGTGCAATTAGGGCTGGGGCCTGGGCCGATAAACGATATTATATTGAATCGCGATAAAATTTATATCTATAACAATTATAAGTGCTGGACTTTTTTACTCTATATTGATCTAAAAGCCACACAGCAGAAATGTACAACAATGGGAATCTAAAAAAGTGTGTTAATATTAGAGATGTACTGAATTTTCGGTCACCAAAAATCTATCGGGCAAAAATGCCATTTAATGGATCCTCTAATTTTTGTATCTTCGGTAATTGTTAGGGTATTCTTTTAAATTTAGAAGGATTAAAAACATATATCGAAATATATATCATTATCGTTTAATAATGTAAAATAATTAACGAGATTGCATTTTTGCCATATCGCCCAGCACTATAAGCAACATATTATTTTGATATTTATATTACTTTTTACATAAGGACTTAGTAGTTAAAGCCACTTAATATAAAGTGGGAGCAACTGTCATTTACATTTTTGTATAACTTTTGACAGTTATGTTTATAAATGATAAGTTTGCAACTTACAGTATCGTATCATTGTGTGTGTGTGTGTATGTGTGTGTGTGGTGGGGGGTGTTTACAATGTAATTTGACAAGTAATTTTAAGTAAAAGTTGTGAAAAAAGAGTTTAGTACATTTTAAGAAGTTAAACCTTTGACTGCCGCTCTACCAAATGGTCGACCAAGTTTTTACTGTTTTGAATGTGGTTTTCACACACAGCATTGTTGGTTCACAAACAAAATCAAGCAAACAATCACTGTTGCACTACTACACTCAATTTTGGTTTTATTGTAAAATAAAATAAAAACAAGAAAATATGTTAAATGAGAATCTGAAATATTTTATGGCATAATTCAAAAAATAAAGGTGACTTAGTTTTACATTTTTTTTAATAAATTGGTCTTACTCTTCATATTTACTTATTAATTCTAGTACTTTTACCATAAACCGACATATGTATCATTTGGTAGAGGCTGATATTTTAGAAGTTGCATTTAAAAATGCATTGAGTGTGTTAAATAGCGAGATTTGAAGTTTTGCAATGCAAAAAAAGAAAATATATATATTCTTTTGGTGGGGAAGTTAAAGGGTTAAAGTAACATTTACCACATACACTCTATAAAGTTTCATTTAAATAGGGAAGTGAATCACCTAAAATGATCTTTCAGTGTTTATTGCAATGATTAACAGCTGTAAACATGGTCACTTTAAGGTGTCTCGTCTGCTTTTTCATTTAGCACTAAAAAAGAGAGTTGCCATGTCTGTGTTTAAGCTTGGCATGTAAATCATATTATCTGTTATTGTATACTTGTTCTAGTTTGCTGATTTTCTTTTCTAGAAAGATCTGACAACACAAATGAATCAAGTCTGATCCGTCGTTTTGTTCTGTGTGTTCTTGCTCTGTGCAGTTGGTTATTTCTGAGTGATTAAAGATACATTAAATCAAATGTTGTCATGACTTACTGATTATCATTTTTGGTACTACCTTTTCTTAAACAATGTTAACGTTTTGCCAACATTCCCATTAGTTATGAAAAATATAATTTCTGAAAGCTCTCTGAAATGAAATAAAAATGATCAAATGTTCGGGGAAGATTTGCACACATTATTCAATGTTAATTAACAATGTTAATTTTGAATGTTCCAAAACAAGTAGTTACAATAAAAAATGACCAGATAATTCTGCACAGATGCTCTATCATCATTACTCTGGAAGAATGTAAGTTCATAACTTTTAGAGAACCTTGCCAGAACTTCTAAGAATGTTTGTTTTTTCAAAGCTGCCATTGGGGTAGTACTCTAAGGTTAAAAAAGGTAAAGGCTCTCATATATACACTTTAGGTGCTTTATTTGAAAGTATTATTTATTACGCTACTTAATGAGGTACTAAAAACTTCCCCGCTAACAGTTTTGTACCATTTTTGTACCATTTTTTCTGAGACTGTGGGATATGGTTTGAAAACACAACTGTACTTTTTAAAAGCTCAACAAAGGTTAACTGTTGTTTGCATCCTTAAAAAGTCAAGTATATTGTGTGGCTTTACAGTGCACTTTCATTTTCATGAAAATGTGGTTTTGCAGTGTAAATGTTAAAACAACAAAAAGCCCTGCATTCCACAATACAATATGTCAGGTCATGTCATGCTTATTTTAACCAGTAGAGCAGCATGACTTTAAAGGAAACTCCATGAGCTCAAACAAAGGCAGCTTTGATTAATTATCTGTCTCAATTATCTGTCTCTTCACATTTGTGTGTGTGTGTGTGTGTGTGTGTGTGTGTGTGTGTGTGTGTGTGTGTGTGTGTGTGTGTGTGTGTGTGTGTGTGTGTGTGTGTGTGTGTGTGTGTGTGCGCGTGTGTGTGTGTGTGCGTGTGTTTGCATGCGCATGTGTGCATGCGTGCGTGTGTGTTTATTCATTCAGAATATACCAAATCAGGATATATTTAGTTCTGTGAAATTTTTTATATTGAAAATCATATATTGATAATTATATATGAATATTATAATTCATTAAGGTTTTGCTAAAGTAAAGATCAAATGCATTTGTCACGGGGTTATTAAAGCTATGTGTAATCTACTGGTTGTTTAAGAGTTAAGAAGGTGTAGAGAAATCCTTATCTTTTGGCCCGTTCCTTTTGGACCTACCTTTATCAGGGTAGCGTTTCCACTGCTAAAAGAGTACCAATGATACCCTTATGGTGGGTGTGGTGTACGACAGAAAGTTTCAGTCAACGTCATCCTCGCTCGAGAAAATGTCTACAGTAAAGCTGTACGGGTCGTTCACATATCATATGGAAGCACTTCTCACAAAACAGATGCTTTTTACACATAAATACTTGTGTATACATGTTCATTACTAACCTAACTATAAACATAATTTACTTATAACTGCAGATCAATGAGAAAGAGCCTACTGTAATGTCTGCAAATATATAAAATAAACAAATAAATGCAACATATATGAACACATACTGACCCTTACAGTCTCCAGTATGTTACCAATTACAGAAAAACTAAACACAGCATACAGTTAGTCCTTATTTGGGTTCACAAACAACAGGCAACATATGGCCTACAATCAGTGCAAACCTCTCATCTTTATTTTTAATCTTCACCAGCACATGTAACCTCTTGTTAGAAAATAAATCCGTTATTCCACTTCATAATAGTCCAGAAGGTGATGATAAAAGTTAAACATGGCAGTTTTTTATGTTTGCTGAGAAAATCATTTGCTTTCTTGTTTTTCTGGCTTCTCCTTTGTTTTTTCACGTGTCACTCTCGTGTTTGTGGCAGGATCGGATGTCAGAAGCACTTCAATAATCACGCTCATGTTATTATCATCAGCTCAAGAAGTTTGTTATTTGAAATATAGACGTGAGCGCAAGCAAGAAAGCGAAACTGCTTGCTCTTTAGACGGGCCCGTAAAAAACTACAGGGCACAGGGTTGAATCTGCTCTTCTTCTTGACTTTGTGGCTGTTCATCAAGACGACGACAATGTTTGTTTGAGCTCGGGTCGACCATGGCTTGTTATTATATGTATATATTATTACGGTGTAATGTCTCAGCTGTGTATTTAAAAAATGGCAGTTCCTTTGTTTTCATTTTGGCTTGTTGCACGAGCTAGTGACGTATCTCTGTAAACCAATAGCGTTCAGCTGCATGTCTAGCTCTGCCTTTTGGAACCCTTTTGCCATGCTAGGTATCCTTTGCAAAGGGTACCCAAAAATGGTTTGGTACAGTTTTCTTTTAGGTACCTTTTGACAGTGGAAACGGCTAAAAAGCCGTACTGTACCACTCACTGAAAACAGGCCATTTTAGGTATCTTCTGACAGTGGAAACAGCCATAAATGTGTACCGTACCATACCATACCACTAAGTAGAAACGGATCATTTTAGGTACTTTTTGACAGTGGAAACAGCCATAAAAGCTACTGAACTGAACCGTACCACTAAGTGGAAATGGGCCATAAAACATTGTAACATTGTCTTTAAAAACGCCTGTGAGCCCAACCTTGGGATCTTTATGCTCACAGAGGCAGTCTGTGTGTCATGCTTCGGAGAATTAAAGCAATTAATAGACAAACTTTGTCAGACTTTATTCAATTTCAGTCTTCACATTAAAATGCATTCCTTCTGAAGAAGAAGAAGAAAATAATTTGCCCTTACAGTTCTTAAAAAATATTTTCAAAGGAAAGGGTTCATAAATTCCAAAAGGGTATCAGTGATCTGAAAATGATCATATGAATGTATTGAGCTTGTGTTTTGAGTCATTTGTAAATCTTACTTTCTGTCTTCCAGCCTGGCGATTTCATGTTTGACTTGGTTGAACTCATTGGCCATCTTGCAGTGGTCTTTATACACTTCTATAGACTCCTTCAAAGAGCGACACGGTAGCACTGGCTGTCAGAATGAGGAAGATGAACACATTAATGCATCACATTATTTACTATTAATACTATTTACATATTACGCTTCAGCACAAAGTTGCCCTTTTAAATGAGTAAGTTGACAAATACGATATATGTTATAATCTACAAGCGAGACTGGAGACGAAGCTTCCTTTTTATTGATGCTATATTTGGATTGTCTGCTACATCCTGGAATATACACAGAATCGTCATACAGACTTGGTTTCAATCAACACATGAAACACAATATGTGGAAACAGTTGTTGAGAGACATGACTTTTTTTCTTTTTTTAATTCCTTTTGTGTCAGGAACTTCTTCTTTCGTAATGACTCATGGCACAGTCCCACAGAATATCATGCATGCAACAAAGAGCTTCAACTTCTCCCAGTTTTCCCCCTCCTGTGTTAAGTATGATCAGAGTTTTATTCAGGTAAGACAATGTTTACATTTTAGGGATACTTTTATGGGAAATCGCTTATGTCAATGAACACTGATCTGATCTTCAAATCACCTCACGGCTTTGATATTAATCTTTATACGATCATTGCATAGAAAATAATTATTTATGTACTGATAGATAAAGATCATCATTACATATTTGATATCTACACACTACTCAATTCATGCCTCCTGATGTAAGCTGTTAGAGTTTGTTCCCTTTAGTTTTTCACCACACGCACACACATCGCGCACACACACATATACATAGTATATTGTATTAGTGACATGCTTTTTTTTGTGGCAGTAAATTATGAGGAAATGTGGTACTGAAATAGTCTTGTTGTCAACTGTCAATAGCAACCTTTCATGTCAGCATGAAACAGCATTCACTGATTTTAAAGTCAACTCATTTTACTTCCGTAATGAAGCAATTGTGTTGTTGTTGAGAAAAACAACTTATCATAGTTGAACGATGACCACCCAAAAAAAGAAAAGAGATTAATTAAGAAGTGTATAATTTAAGGGCCGTAAAATATTAACTAATGTATAATTTATTAATATAATAATTTTAAAATGTTTGTAATTAAATAATTGTTTGTATTTATTAATAACAAAATTTCCTTCAGCTTTCATCCATTTACTCATTTTCTTGTCGGCTTAGTCCCTTTATTAATCCGGCGTCGCCACAGCGGAATGAACCGCCAACTTATCCAGCATATGTTTTACACAGCGGATGCCCTTCCAGCTTCTCTGGGAAACATAATAACAAAAAAATTCTAATTTATTAAAAATTTATATTCAACAATTATATTATAATTCAACAATAATAATAGCCTTTACATGTATAATTACCAATATCTTTAGGAATGTGAATATGTTTTAAAAAATTAAATGTTAAAGTTAAAATAAAAAATATATATTTTCTGTTGATAATAATAAAAGCTTTAAAGCTGCCACTAACATCTTGTTGTTGTTGTTGTTGTTATTACAATAATTTATACTATTATAATCATTATGATTAATGCAAAATTAAAACTAATTCCATCTTGTCTTACTAAAGCATTGTTATTGTTTATAATATAATAATAATAATAATAATAATAATAATAACAATAATAATAATAATTATACAATTAAAATCATTATTGCAAAATTCTAATTAAAAATACTATAAAGTTAACTAATTCCTTCTGGTGGTCTTACTAAAGCATTATTATTATTATAATCATTATTATTATTATTACTATTATTAATATTATTACAATAATGTATACAAGTATATTAATCATTATCATTACTATTGCAAAATGTTAATTAAATTAAATATACTAAAATATTAACTAATGCCATCTTGTGGTCTTAAAGAAGTAATATTAATAATAATAATATTATTATTATTACAATAATTTAAGCATTATAATCATTATTGAAAAACTCTAAAATAAAAATACTAAAACATTGACTAATGCCATTTTGTGGCCTTTCTAAAGCATTAGTACTATTATTATTACAATAATGTATGCAATTACCATCATTATTGCAAAAATCTAATTAAAATAAAAAATAATATAATGTTAACTATTGCTATCGTGTTGTCTTACTAAAGCATTATTTTATAATAATAATAATAATAATAATAATAATTATTATTATTATTATAATTATTATAAAAATTACAATAATTTATACATGTATCATTATCATTATTATTGCAAAATTCTAATTAAAATAAAAATACTAAAAAGTTAATGACATTTTATGGGCTTACTAGGCAATAAATTATTATTATTATTATTATTATTATTATTATTATTATTATTGTATTACAATAGTTTATACAATTATAATCAGTATTACTCGAGCCTCGGCACAGTTGGCGTTTCTGTGTGGAGTTTGCATGTTCTCCCTGCGTTCGCGTGGGTTTCCTCCGGGTGCTCTGGTTTCCCCCACAGTCCAAAGACATGTAGGCCTACACAGAACCGGCGCCAGGATGTCAGAACTGAGGGGGCATTTTAAATCCATAGGGGGGCACTAGACCTCGTGACGGATTTTGGTCTCCCTTGTTTCTTTCATTTAGGCTATTTATTCACATGTATTATTACTTTACTTTGTTACTGACCTAAGGCAGTAATATACGTTTTAATAGTAATAATAATATGCACACTTTCGCTTTTATTGATTTTATTATTGACGTTAATGTTTTATTAATACCGCTTATTAATGCAGACGAATCATGGCTTTAGTGCCAAACGAGTGCTTTAAATCATGTTATTCTTCTTATTTATTTCCGTTTTATTTCAAATAACAGGCATATGAATGTTTAAAGTTTTAAGTAAAGACGTCAAATTATGCCTACACATGCAAGCTGACCCACGATCAGACTATTCGTATAACCGGTAAATAAATATAGTGAAATCAGCTTAACCGAGTCATCCCGCTTCACGTAGCCTGTTATCCAACCAACCATCAGTGTTAGGGAAAAGCTAAATGTTACAATCTAATGTCTATTAAAACAATTACTTAGTCACATTTTAAGGCATTAGTGTAGCCAGAAAAATACCTTAAAAAGATGCCTAAATTCACAGTTATTACCATGAAAATTAGTTTGGCACGGATAACACGCAACTCAGGCTATATAACTTTTTTCATCATTTTAAATGTAAAAATAAAGATTTCTTAGGCTATCATATGTGTGTTTTTTCGTGATATTGTCTGGTTGTCATTTGTAAACCATCATAAACAATAAGGTCACTAGGCCTACCCGTCATTTTATTTTTTTATTAAGCCTATTTTAATAACTTGTTTTCATGGTTATTTTCATTTTAGGGCCATGAGCTACAAGTCAAAACAAATTCGATATGCTGACTGTGTTTTAGCTCTTAAAATAGGTTTACAATATATTTATGTTGTTTAATTTTGCATGAGCAAATAGCAGTATAGCCTAAATGACATATTTTTAAAAGATGATCATTGAGCTTACCTGCACCATGTAAAAGGTTTCTCGGTTGATCCGCGGTAATTCCACTAATGCACTATATTCCATTTATAACACTGCAAACTTGACTTCGCAGGCCGATCATCTTTATACGCAAAACGCATTTATTAAGTGTTATACCTTGACTGCTGCTGCATAATGGGATATTTCTCTACACAACTTTAAAAGTGCGCTTTTTAGCAATGTCAAAATGAAAGCAAACATTCAAAGGGTTCTGCGTTTTGTCAATTTTAGCTTAATTGTAAAAATATTAATAATAATAATAATTAATTAATTTAAATATTATTTAGCCTACTGTGGGACTGTGCAGTGAGCTATTTATTTTTATTAAAACATTTTTATTAGGCTACATCTTCCCGAATAACTAATAAATGACTGGCAGTTGCGTCTCTGCTAAAATAAATTTACCAGCAAATTTCTTCAGCGTTTCTTCCTTTTAGAGCTCAAGAGAGTTGTGTTTAAATAATTAGTTAACCAAAACATGTAATGAATTAAGCTGCTCGTCTCATGTCACACACTTTTCTCCCTTGTGAGTTGAGTGCGCCTCCATCGCCGTGTGCGTGTTTTATTTACGGGCGCACCTGACCTGACGCGGACGCGCTGTGACCGGATCTCTGGACTATAGGATAGCTTTATCCCCACAATTTTTCATAATTTAATTGCTATGTCATATTTTAAAATATTTAAATTTGTGTTTAAAAGGTTGGAACGACGGGAGTGTTTGTAATTAATGACAGAAAGAATTTTCAGTTTTGAGTGAACAAGCCTTTATAAAAACTGGGGGGGCACAAATTCTTTCTGAGGGGGCAATGCCCCCCTTTGCCCCCCCGTAGCGCCGGGCCTGGGCCTACAGGTGAATTGGGTAGGCTAAATTGTCTGTAGTGTATGTGTGTGTGGATCTTTCCCAGAGATGGGTTGTGGCTGGAAGGGCATCTGCTGCATAAAACCTAGTTGGACAAGTTGGCGGTTCATTCCGCTGTGGCGACCCCGGATTAATAAAGGGACTAAGCCGACAAGAAAATGAATGAATGAATGAATCATTATTGCAAAAATCTAATTAAGATAAAAATACTCAAGGCAACTAATGCCATCTTGTGGTCTTACTAAAGCATTGCCGTGAGACATTTGGGGGTAAATTGTATAACGTTAAAATCGACTGAACAAACGTAGCTATCTGGTCAACGAGGCGCAAACAATAAACACATTTAAATCAGTTTAAAGTAAAATAAATTATCTGAAGCATGTTCTTGCTGGATATGAAACTGCTCCTGGCTGATTCTACAGTGAATATCTTACTTTTCCAGTGTTTGCGGTTAGCGGTAACCAATACGTCTTTTGAAACGAGGTCTGATGTGTGCTTGCTGTTTGCATGTCGCCATATTGTAAACAGATTATTAATAAACTTTACCTGCAGGCGCTGCTCAAGGTCGGGGAATGATGGAAGCGGATCCTCTGCATCTTTCAACTCTGAGAGGAAAACACAGGCAGAATAACACGCCTGGTATGAGAATGATAATATCTGATATCTTAACTCCAAGGTCTCAGCGCTGACATCTACATCCATCTAATCAGTGAATTCACAACCACAGCGCACACGACACCGCCGAGCCCTCACACCGGTCTGAGTACAGTTCACGGTAACTGTTAACATTATTGCCGTTCACAGCGTAACCGTTTCCAGATCAGTCTGAAAAGCCACATTCAGACACCAGCTGTTCGGCCGTGACTCTAAATCCCGAACGGACAGATTGAAAGTTAAGTATCTGCGCGGTTCTTCGCGGTGACTTGTGTTTAACGAGCGCTTTGACAGAGGACTTGTCTGCACTGATTCCCGCCATGCCAGCGATGTCCAAACGTAGGGTTTACAGTCCACTGATGATGCAAAGCAGCTAAAAACAGATAAAGGCCTGTTTGCAGTCAGCCATCAGCCAGACCGCCAATTAAAAGATATATATACAAGCAAATTTGAAAGGGTGTTATCAGAAACATGACGCGCACGTTACTCTTGTTGAATGTGGCCAGATGGGGACGAACATCAAAGGCTCAATTCGTTTTTGGCAGAGTGATTGTAGGCCTATATACAGTTGAGATCAGAATTGTTAACCATCCTAAACAGTGTTGCCAACTATTTTCAATAAAAGGTAGCTAAAGCCTGCTTAAAAAGTTGCTAAATGTTGCTGTGTCTCTATTCTATAAGCCGCAGTGTATTATATTATAGGCTATTAAAACATTACATCCCGATGCACAATAAATAGGTTCTTATTTACAAATTACTTTGCGTGATGGTGTTATTGCGTAATTGTAACTCAAAATGCCATCTTTATATACAAAATAATTAATGTTATCTAGAATTGACTGGCCATCTCAGCAAAACATTATTTTAAATATTATTTTAAATATGTCCATTAAGCATTGTATGAAAAATAGAGTTGACTATTGTAAAAGTATTACAAACACCTTTTGATAGTTTATTTATTTATTTTTTTAAATATAACACTGATAATGAACAGTTACATTATTTTAAACAATCACAGCTTGTTTACCCTTTTTTAACTAGTGAAATTAACACATTTGTTAAAAGTGACAAAAATTATAGCACTATTGGAATTTATTGCTACCGAAATTACCAACATTTTAACAAATAACAGCAAATTAACAGCTATGAAAAACAATCGGAGCAAGCAATTTACTCTACTGAGTGAAGACTGCAGCCACTGCTCTTTTGAGTCACTTTTTTAAAAATGCTAAAAGTGTTGCTAAGTGCTTTTTGGGAAAAAAGGTTGCTAGGGTAGTATGAAAAGTTGCTAAATCTAGCAACAAAATTGCTAAGTTGGCAACACTGCTCCCCAATGGTTTGTTCTGTAGACTATCTAATAAAATGTCTTGCTTAAGAAGGCTAATAATATTGACCTTAAAATGTTTTTAAAAATAAAAACTGTTTTTATTCTAGCCAAAATAAAACAAATAAGAATTTCTCCAGATTAAAAAAAATATTAAAGAAAATACTGCGAACATTTTTTTGCTCTGTTAAACATCATTTAATATTTGCAACAACAACAACAACAACAACAACAACAACAAAAAAGAAATTCATACAGAACTATATTATTTTTACATTTTTGATTTTCTTTATTACGGAAGTCCTAGGAGGCCATGCATTCATTTTTCTTTCTTTCTTGTTTTGTTGTGATTATGACCTTTATTCTCTCATGATCTCAAGATAAAAAGCTGTTTTCTAGTTATCGACTTAATTTTCTTGTGCTCTCAACACCAAAAAAAGTTGTTTTCTTGCAATCACAACTTATTTTTCATGATACCAACATAGAAAGATGTTTTTATCACAACTTAATTTTTTACTTTTATTTATTTGTGTTTTTTTGCTTAGATATTTACAGAAATTGAAGGAATTTGTTATTTTATATATGTTAATTAGGATAAAAGTGTCTGCTAAATGAATAAATGTAATCTTAGATCAAAATTATGAATTATTATTTGCTGTTGTTGTATATATATAATATAATATAATATATTCTATAATTGTAAATAATCAAATATATTTAAATAAAGTATATGTAATTTATGTAAATAGGATATTATATGACATATAATCAAAAGTGACATTGTTTTGCAGGGAATTATGGGCAAAAAAAGTCTAAATATAGAGTGTTTATGTGTCAGGTTTCTATTTGCATTCCACTTTTGGGAAAGAAAGAAAAGGACGTGGGTCAAAGCAGCGTCGAAGCGCGAAGTATTAAATGCTTTTAAATTTAGGCCAGTGTTCTAAAAGCAAATGAGCGCATCATGCAGCAGCGAGGTATTAAACCAGAAACCTGATGCTGCAATGCCCGGACAGCAGCTGCCATCAAAGCATTTGCCAGAATAGCTGTAAAACACTTTGACAGCACTGTTGACTTTGTGGCTAGGTGGATATTTTGTTTTTAAGATGCCAGAGATCAACCAAAATAGAGAAGGCACCTGTTCCTTGGGAAACGATGGCAAAAGTTGAATTGATCCCACATGAGCGGCTTTGGGTGGGTTTTGCTTGTTGCCGTTTTGGTCAAAGTCACGCATAGTATGGACCGTGCAGAACAGCAGGGAAGCAACTCTATATTAGGCTCTCAATCACACAAGCATGTAAACATCGAAAACAATGATGTGCGCATTCTGGATGTGCGTTACCTGAGGTTTCGTCGAGGCTGAAAGCGATCTGTACTTCAGGTTTGTCTGCAGAGACTCGTCTAGTTGAGGTGATCATTTATTCCTAGGGGGAAAAAGTCCATTTTGGGGTAAACTGGCTGCATGAAAATGTTACACATCACAAAAAAGCTAATTTTTGTGTTAATAAAGTTTTGTCCGCACTGAAACAATTTATATGGGCTGATTTTAAATAAACAAATTACATTTGTAAGCTTCAACTTCATTTGTTTGCCTAAATTCAGCCCAAACAAATTGTTTGCAACCAGTTTCCTTAAAATAATGTAGTAAATCCAATTCATCTTTTATGTTGTGCATATTTAACACAAAACTGAACTAAAACAACAAAGCTTTTTAGAGGACACACACATACACAAAGATGTTGCTTTTGTAAAATTAATCAATAAAAACAAATAAATACAGTTTTATAAAGAAATAAGGCAATAATAAATATTGATATGGTGTGGTATTGTAAAATATTGGTATTTGACACATTTTGAAGACAATTTTAATAAAAGGTTCCACTTTAGATGAATATTAAAACTTAAAATGAATAGTAATATTTAACATTAATAATAAACTATAATAGTAGTTCCAATTTTGTAACTATAAATACAGTTTTATAAATAAATAAAACATTAATAATGATATTGTATATTATTGTAAAATATTGGTACTGTTCAATGCACATTTTGGTTTTAGGACAACTTTACTAAAAGATTTCACTTAAAATGAATATCGGAACTTAAATGAATAGTAATATTTAACATTAATAATAAACTATAATAACAGTTACAATTTTATAATAATGATAATAACAAAATTTTATAAATAAATAAAACATTAATATTATTATTGTCTGTTATTGCAAAATATTGGTACTGTTCGACACATATTTTGGTTTTAGGACAACTTTACTAAAAAGTTCCACTTCAAATGATTATCAGATATTAAAATAATACTAATTCATTCCTTTATTTATCTGGGGTCACCACAGCAGAATGAACCACCAACTTATCCAGCATATGTTTTATGCAGCGGATGTCCTTCAAGCTGCAACCCATCTCTGGGATACATCCATTCACACATAAACACTGCAGTCAATTTTTAGCATATTCACCTATACCTCATGTCTTTGAACTTGTGGGGGAAACCGGCGCACCCGGAGGAAACCCACGCTAACACGGGGAGAACATGCAAACTCCACACAGAAATGCCAACTGACCCAGCCGAGGCTCGAACCAGCAACCTTCTTGCTATGAGGTGATCGTGCCACCCACTGCACCACCACGTCACCATTGATAGTTATATTTAACATTAATAATAAACTATAATAGTAGTCACAATGTTATGATAATAAATACTATTTTATAAAAAAAATAAAACATTAATAAATATTGATATTATATGTTATTGTAAAATATTGGTACTGTTCGACACACATTTTGGTTTGAGGACAACTTTAATAAAAGATTAAACTTCAAATGAATATCAGAACTAAATTAAATAATAATATTTAACATTAATATTAAACTATAATTATAGAAAGGTGTGTGTGTGTATGTATATGTATGTGTATATATATATATATATATATATATATATATGGCTTTGGCTCATTACATTCATTCATTCATTCATTTTCTTTTTGATTAAGTTCCTTTATTAATCCAGGGTTGCCACAGCTGAATGAACCGCCAATCCAGTACATGTTTTACACAGCAGATACCCTTTCAACCGCAACCCATCTCAGGGAAACATCCATACACACTCATTTACACTACGGACAATTTAGCCTACCCAAACCTTTGCAAACGTGGGGAAAACATGCAAACTCCACACAGAAATGCCAACTGACCCAGCCGTGGCTCGAACAAGCGACATTCTTGCTGTAAGGCGACAGCAAAACCTACTGTGTCACCGTGTCGCTAGCTCATTATATAATATTAATAATTAATATATTATGATTAATATATTATGATGACTATATAATTATAAGCAAAATAATCATATATATATATATATATATATTTTTATTAAGAATATCAATTAATATTTGTGTATCATCTTAACTACATACAAAACAACTAAACAACAGGAAATATACTAAATTAATTCTAAAATGTATGTGTGTGTGTGTGTGTGTGTGTGTGTGTGTGTGTGTGTGTGTGTGTGTGTGTGTGTGTGTGTGTGTGTGTAACCTGAGAAGTATGAGGTCACTAGTCTTTTAGGGGTCATGAAACGCCACCATCATGTGCCTAAAGTTGCATCAGGGATTAAACAATTGAAGACAAAGCCAGCAAATGAGATCATGCTTCTTTACTGGCTGCACTATGAAATCATCTTACATATATGCCTGAACTATATTTTATTTGGAAATGAACATGTATTGTGCTTATTTTCTGAACAGTAAAGACACAAGATCACAGTTAATTTCCTAAAAGCACAGTAAAAGCCCACTTACCTAACAATAGAGCTGTATTTACAGAAGAGTCTCAGCAAAACGCTCAGCAGAAGAGCTGAAGACACTCCATTGAGAAGCCTGTATGCAGATCCTCCTCTGTGATTATGCTGTAAAACATACAAAGGTAAAGTGGCAGTAATCCTAATAGTGTAGAGTGAGAAGCCCAAACAGAGGAAGAGTAATGGCAGCTCTTCAGTCGGAGTGGCACTGTGATTCTGTGTGTGCCAGCCTGACTCCAATTAAATGGCTCAGATGGCATGACTTTACACTAGAACAATGTCTATCTCTCTCCGGTCAGCTTCTGGGTCACACACACACACACACACACACACACACACACATTCGCCACAACAATGCAGAGCTTTTTTTTCAGTTTTCATTTAGTTAAAAGTGTTGGATTTGTAGTATTTTTGATTTTTTTGAGCACTTTTTATTTTCTGAAAAACAATAATCATCAAAGCAAGCAGTTTGAGAAATCAGTGTACTTACTGTATGATTAAATTGCTTTTAAATAGCTTTTTTAAACGACAACAACAAAGTAGGTTTTTAATTATATAATAAAATTAATTACAATTTTTTATGTGACTCTTGTAATAAAAAAATGTGTTTTCTGAGCCAACTATTTTATTTATTTTATTTATTTATTTATTTATTTATCTATGTATTTATTTATTTATCTGTTTGTTTATTTATTTATCTGTTGATATATTTGTTTATTTATTTATATATTTATTTATCTAGTTATTTTCATTTCATTTAATTTTCTTGTCGGCGACAGCACTACCTACTGCGCCACTGCCTCGCCCTATCTAGTTATTTATTCATTAATTTATTTATATATTAATCTATTGATCTATTTATTTATTTATTTATTTATTAATTTATCTATCTATCTATCTATTTATTTATCTATTTATTTATTTTTGTATTTCAACCTTGTTTTTTTTATACTGAAAACAACACTTTGTGCATCAACACAATATATCTTAATTATATATTGTTAACATTAAAATGTAAAGGGTGGCGCAGTGGGTACCTCACAGCAAGAAGGTTGCTGGTTCGAGTCTGGGTCAGTCTGCATTTCTATGTGGAGTTTGCATGTTCTTCCTGTGTTCCTTTAACCCCACCGGTCCTACACAACCCAACTCACTCTGAGCTGGGATTGCATCGGTGACTTTCCGCATGGGATTTGGTTGCTCTAGCAAAGAGACTAAAGATCATGGTCTTTAGCGTCTGAAAACAGCTGTTTTCATCTTTGTATAATTATTTATTAAAACTGTCTAAAGTGATCTTGATATTATTTTTATTATGTGTATATTTAGTTTAAAGTGATTTTCCCAGTACTTGGTTGCAGCTGGAAGTGCATTCGCTGTGTAAAGTATATGCTGGAATATCTGGTGGTTAATTCTGATGTGGCGACCCCTGATTAATAAAGGGACTAAGCTGAAGGAAAATTATTGAATAAATAAATAAAGATAAATATTGCTGTTCATTTTAATATTCTGATAATAAATTGCAAGTGTATTTGTTACACCCATACATTTCAGGCCCGTAGCCAGCCTAGTGAAAGGGGTGGTTCTTTTTTCTCAAAAACTGGACCTTTTTGCAGTTATATGTGTCAGTTTCTATTTAACTATGAGATTTAAATACTGCATTTTAGTGATTTTTTTTTTTTGGCTGGATTAGCTAGTCAGATGTCATCATAACCACATTTTTTGATGTACTAAAAATATTTCCTAAAACATCGCAATAAAATTTATTACATCATGAATCATTAGGAAAAAATAGCAATCTGTTAAAGTTTTAAATAAAAAAAAAACTGTAGCCTACTGCCATTTATTAGACAGAAAAAAAAATGGCCAGCACATGCAACTGCTCTCAGTCACAATTAGGCCACTTTATTCATTCATTCATTTCCTTGTCGGCTTAGTCCCTTTATTAATCCGGGGTCGCCACAGCGGAATAAACCGCCAATTTATCCAGCATGTTTTTTACGCAGTGGATGCCCTTCCAGCCGAAACCCATCTCTGGGAAACATCCACACACTCATTCATACACACACTCATACACTACAGAAAATTTAGCCTACCCAATTCATCTGTACCACGTCTTTGGACTGTGGGGGAAACCGGAGTACCTGGAGGAGACCCATGCAAACGCAGGGAGAACATGCAAACTCCACACAGAAATGCCAACTGAGCTAAGCCGAGGTTCTAACCAGCGACCTTCTCGCTGTGAGGCGACAGCACTACCTACTGCGCCACTGCGTCGCCCTTAGGCCGCTTCAATAAAAAATAAACATTAAAACATAATAATAATAATACAATAATAATAAATTCTTCAGAATTTTTCTAGTGTCTGGTAAAAAAGTACATTTGAAAATTCCTGGATACCAACAATAGCCAAAATATATTCAAATTAATTTAATATGGTCGCTTTTGGTGCTTCATGACTTTTTATTGCTCATTTTTATTTCAGAAATAAGGTCCAAGACTTAGAATAAAAGTTACCTGTAAAATGTTTTTTCTGTTTAAAAACAATACAGTAGTGAAAGAAGACTTCTCTTAAATCAGATCATAGTCCCACTGAAGCAACAGCCGACAGAGGACTCAGTTTGGTCTTAAAGCCTTTTTCGATGGATTATTTTCATTATAATGGCATAGCAGTCAAAATAGGACAAATATACTCATGTATGGGACAAATTCTGGACCTTTGTCAGTGAGGTTGTGGGTCTTACGAACCCCCCTGGCTACAGGCCTGAAAAGTTAGAGCATATTTTATGCTTATAGTAAACATGTTTTCATTGAATTTTGGCTGTAAAATCTGATCAGAGTAAAACAAATGAAGTGAGCAAACAGCCTCATAAACAGAGAGGTGACGGGACTATATATTGAATTAAAATATATAAGATTAATTATTAATTTATATATTATAAATATATGATTTAATATTAAATTACATAAAATAATTAAAAGGACAAATGCTGGACCTTTTGGCCGTGGGGGTGGTTAGTAGCAAGTAACATGCTATTAAGTTATATAACCGCTAGATGGCGTTCTTGGATAATAAAGCAGGTCGCACACCAGAGTGGCGCTTCTATATTTAAATATATAACAACATCGATGCTGTAAAAGGAACCGTATAAAATAAAAAAAAAATAAAAAACTCACAATAACAGGTCACCGGAAGTTTATAAGTATGGGAACAACACTAGCTCGTCGTATACTCAATTATATTCATCTGTCTCCATATTCTACTGCATCCCAGAATATTACACAGCACCAAAAATGTAAAAATATAATGAATATATTTCATATGTTTTTGTCCACAGGAGACGAGGAGGGGGAGACTACAACTCGCCGTGACGCAGATGGTGCTCCAATGGTGATCCCTCTTCAGCGCTCACCATGACAACGAGACTCACTGCAGTGACGTGTCTTGTAAAAATTTAAAAGCTGGTCGGTTCTCTCTCAGCGTTGTTAGTTCGCTCGGTGATGCTGTTTGTACTTGACCAAGGTGAGTTCAATACCGACGGCACGAGTGGAGCCACGCCAACCTCACGAAGTCCACTTCGTGAAGCTTCACTCGGGCATGTCTATGCTGTAGCTCCTTGCGGTTTGCATAGATAAACGCAATATCACGAAGAACATTACGTGTTTGTTGCTCGAAATGTGCCGCCGAGCAACATCCAGTGAACGCTGGCACGGCCTGGCGGCCGGTTTACTCGTGCACTCCCTAGGGCAGGGGTCACCAATCCTGGTCCTAGAGGGCCGGTGTCCCTGCAGGCTTTAGCTCCAACTTGCCTCAACACACATGCCTGGGTGTTTCAAGTATACCTAGTAAGACCTTGATTAGCTTGTTCAGGTGTGTTTGATTAGGGTTGGAGCTAAAATCTGCAGGACACCGGCCCTCCAGGAACAAGTTTGGTGACTACTGCCCTAGGGCAAGGCGCTTTTGAGCCCTAGGCAGGGAACAAACAAGCCCTGAGGACCTTCAGGGAAACACGGGAGGCCGGTAGTGGGACCTCGCTGCGAGGGTTATGGTGGGTGGGAGCAGCGGGGCCCACTCATAGTCTATTTTAAACTATAGTTTCAAACTTTAGTTTACTATAGTTTGACATATAAACCATGGTAACTGTTTTGATTTAACTTTATGTAAAGAGCTTAGAATGACCAAGAGGCGACATTCAATAGAACGCTCCTTTGCAACAACAGCGCCCAGCAACAGCCCCGGATTCCGCCATTTTGAAGTGAAAGCGATCGGCCATCCATTGGATCTCATTGCTATTTCGATGGCAGGCAGCTGCTTCATTTTTAATTAATTTATTCAAAAAGCGCGTTAAGCTGAGAGACAACAATACACCACTTACTATCAAAAGTGTTGATAAATGTGCCGCCTTGCCATTGTCTGTTTCCCAAATTGCACTAGTGTCGCCTCTTGCTTGGTGAATCTATGCTCTTTGCTCTATGTCTGACTGTTGTAATGTTTTGCTTTGTTTTTCAGCTGAGTTGTTGGGCAAAGGAGGACAACTGTTGAAGACAACCGCGGGTTAAATTAACGAGTGCGCGCATTATAATGTTTCCGGGCTGTTTTCTGAAAGTTTACCTTGTTTAGATAAGTTTGCAGGTCAAACTAAATGAACTATACTCTTTCTAAACACCTCTCTCCTGTATTATTTGTCTTCTACAGCCACACACTGTCATATAAGTCTGTTGAATGCATTTGTATGCAACATGGTTTGACAATACAGTAGTCTAACAAATAAATAGTTGTTATAAATGTACCTTCATTAATCAACTTTTTGCGTAGGTAATAAAAAGTTTATCAAATATGTCCTAAGATATACGGTAATGTTATAGTTTTTAAATTACTGTATTTATTATTATTCTGTATATTTAAAACCAGCAGATTTACTACATATTTATCATGTCATGAACTTACTGTTATTCAAAAATGTGATTAATAAAATGTCCTAAGACAAGAAAGGGTATTGTTTTGGTTTTCTATCAACCTATTGTAGGTTTTAGGTTGAATGCAGCAGATATACCTTTATCATAATATTGGTAGTTGGAGTTTTTTTAATGACCCAAATCAAGTAAAACGTCTCTCACTCCAGCACTTTTAGCATGCAAGTCAAATTTGAGTACATAAAATACAGTTTTCAACAACAAAATTTTTTCTTGTGAAAATGACCAGTGGGTGGTGAGAAAAAAAAGTTAATGGCAAGTTATATATAATATAAAAGAAGTTGAATAAGTTGTCATATTTAGTCATAATACAGTTTTCTATACATTTCCATTAGACTTTTTTTTTTAAATCTATAATTGGTAAATTGCTTGCAGGTCAATTGTGACTGTCTAATGAATGTGTATCTGAAAAGAGATTGGGTCCTTATAGTCCTATGTTACCATTTCTAGTTTTTTGTTTTGTTTTTTTCCTTGTCCTATGTAGTGCTGTCTTTTCCTTTCTGTATCACAATGACATGATCTGGCAAAAAATGACTGTACAAACAGCAAAAAAAAAATAATAATAATAAATTAGCCACAGTTTACATCAGAACACCCCTCCAGTACACTGTTATACTGACAACATGACTAGGCCCACACAGAATCTACGTGTGCAGAATGTGCAGTGTGCAGTGGAATAGAACATCACAAGCATGGTTTCTGCTGGTGTCAGTCACTATTTCAAATTTATGGGCCATTCTTCAACTACGGGCACTTTTAGCCTTGTGAAGTTGAGTAAAAAAAACTTGTTCAAAATTAACGTAGCATAGCCTCATACGTTGACCAATTTGTCTAGTTTAAGATCTGTAAGAGGAAAAGCTTAAATAAGAAGAGAAACATTTTTTTATCGTGAACTGAACAAATGTCATTTTCACCACATCTCAATATACAGCTTATTTTAAAATGAAATAAATTATGGCAGTCAAACATTGTCTAAGATCATTTTTGTATCTAGTTTAACTAATCTTTCCTCAATATATATATATATATATAATTATACATTTGTTATTGAAATAAATTAGTTGTATGCTGAATTGTACACCTACCACACTCTAAAGTTTAAAATTAATTTGGTTAAGAGTTTATTAGAAAATAAATAAACTGAATTTGTATATTAAATAGAGCATGAACTCCTACATTGTGAATACACTTTTAATATGTGATGAGAACTTTTTCAATATTTTCTAAAAATGTGTGAGGTGGTGGAAATGACATTTCAACAGTTTATAAAAATGAAAAACAGCTTCACCGATTAGCTTTGAATTGATACTAGCATTTCATTTCTTATTTACCTTCATTTTGTTTGGTTTTTAAAAACATCTTTGAAGGTACTAACATGTTTGGAAATGAGGTAGAATAAATGTATTTCCTTATCAAGCAATTTTTACCTTGATTTTTCTTCAAAAGTTGTTGATAAAAATGTAAACTCTCCATCTTGAACATGTTCTCAGATGACACTATTCATTTTCATAGAGACCACCTAAATAATCTTTCACACAAACTTTTTAAAGTGACATTACAGTGTTGTGAAGGAAATCAAATCAAATACTGTGCGACAGCTTTATTTTGTGTAAAAAAATAATATTAATAATAGTCTCACATTAAAAAACTATAAAATATTTACCAGATAAATAATGTTTTAAAATGTTATTTTCATTTAAAAAAACGTTATATATAGTTTATAGATACTTTGTACTTCTAGATATTTATTAGAGGCCCCTAAATTTCCTGGACCCTAAGAGCTTACCTCTCTTATTGCTTAAATCAGCTCCTTAGTGTGTATGGATGTGTCCCAGTACTGAGTTGCAGCTGGACGGGCATCCGCTGTGTAAAATGCTGGAATTTGTCGGTTAATTCCGCTGTGGCGACCCCTGATTAATAAGGGCACTAAGCTGAAGGAAAATGAATGAATAAATAAATGATGATAAATTTTGCTGTTCATTTTAAATTCTGATATTAATTTGCAAGTGCATTTGTTACACCCATAAATTCGATATATGTCATTGAAAATTTGATGACCTTCAAACAATTGAAAACTCCTTTTTATCTTCATACGTATTAAATGATTCAAAACAACACCACACAAACACTTAAAGATACTGTTATTGAATAATCGTCTTTAAAAAAAGAAATGTTAAATGGTTTGCTTGTTCTGCTTTGGGTGTGGCGTAGATTCAATCGGCGCTCGACTACCTCGCCTCTCTGGCTCAGTAATCCGCATTTCTGTTCTCCGCTGCAACGCCTGTTCTTTCTTAGCTGCATGCTTCCAGTGCGCTGCAGCCTCATCCAGCATCAATCTAATATCCACATTTTCCGCTTAAAATGGCTCTTCACGTCCCCAAAGCTCCGGGCTTTGCTCAGATGTTAAAGGATGGTGCGAAGGTAAGGCTGTTGAAACAGTGTTTCGCCCGAATTGTGTTGTTTTTAGCGCGCTCCCGATGACTCCACATAGAGCTTTCTAGAACACGGGCCTCAGACCCTACAACTACCGGTAAAACTGGCAGACGCTTCACACTTCAGCTGAAGAGTGTTATTTTGTACACGGCTGAAATTAACATCAGGTCTTAATGATGTAGCAAAGGGTTAACTTTAAATGGGTTATGTTGGAACGTGACGGATGAATGAAGTTAGCATGTTAGCTAAAGACATGTGCCACTGACTGACAGACTGAGAGATCACACCTCCATCACAACACTGTTTCAGCATATACTTTTGTCTCCTATGAAAATAAATGAATAATCTAGCATACAGTTCCCCATGTGTGTTTTCACCCAGATGTATGTACTGTAGGATTTGGCATGAAAATATGGTCTGTTGTGGAAATGTTGATTTTATATTCGAACACTTGCGTTTTCATGTGAGCAGGATCCATACAAACGAGGTGTTTCAGTCAGAACATTTTAATCATATTTAAAGTATGGTTAAAGATATCAAATAATGTCATCAAAGAAAACTTTGTTGTTACAGCTTTAATTCGCTGACATCTGTTCGTTTTTTTAACAAAGTGACAACTTGTGACAAGGTTCCATTTTTGATTAACACTATGTTGAATATTTGTTCTGAATTCACATGCAAGAATGACTTCAAAACAATAACACAATTCAACATTGACTTTGAACAAAGTTGTACAGTATATAATATATTGCACTGTATATATATGTACAGTCTGTTAGACATTCATTTGCTGATATTAATGTGATTTGCTTATTTAGAATTTGCAAAGAATACATTAATAAAATTATGCTAAAAAGTCTGAATGTGCAAATAAAAAACAGGGTTTCCGCGTGGTCTCAAAAAGTCTTAATGTCTTCAGTCCCAAAATCAAAATTTTACGCATTAAAAAGTTTTAAATTTACTGAAATATTGTGTTGTAGGTCTTAATTTTTTTTTCAAACAAGTCTTATTTTTTTCTTTATAAATTGCTACCCAATCTGGCCATACAATCTCCAACAATCCATCTCAATAAAACTTTAAACTTTTTATTTAAAAAAGTAATTTTAAACTGTATTTATCATAATGGTTTCCCATACAATAACATTTGTTTAAAAGTGCTCCATCATGTATTTACTGCTGAGGACACTGACCTGGACAGATTGTTGTGCATAGATTTAGTTTATTATAGTTTTCTAAAATAAATTGTAAATTTTTTTGTATTTATTTCAAAGAAATTTTATGTTGGAAAAAAAGTGTATGGATACAAGTAAAGTTTGCTTGTTTTTACACATTTTGCTCAGAAATATATATATATATTTAATTATTTTATTATTAATTTATTATTGTATAATTAAATGTATTAA